AAGAAGGGGGGGGGGTGCAAAAACGCCAAAATCAAGTTTATTTCCCCCAAGGAATTTGTGATGATCGTAAATGTTTTAGTTTTACTCCACATCGACACAATTTAGGCCATAGTAAAGTATGGAGGGCGGCTTCTCCCGTGCATGTCAGTCTGGCTCGGGTCGAATGTGATACAGCTTCCCAGTAGTAGAGAGACGAAAAAATGTTATAGGTTTAACGCCCCTATCAATACTTTAAGAGGCAGGACCTCCGAGTTTAACGTCCATCTCCGAAAGGACCGAGCCCAGTGAGAAATTTGTTTAGGCTTAAGTGCCTTTCCCGAAGGACACAACGTCGGATTGAGCTGAGGCTCGAACCCCCGAATCCGAAGTCTCACGATTTCAAGTCCCGTCGGCAAACCACTGGGCCACCAACGCCACTGTAAAGAGACGAAGATTGTTGGGGGTTTGTTTTTATAATAAAAAATTTAAATTAAAAAAAAAACACTAGAGACCGACAGACCAAAAGACAGGCCGCAGAGAACAAACAGACAAACAGAACAGAAGACAGGTCAGAGAAAGACATAACACACACAGAAACATAACAGACAGACAGAACAGAAGACAGATCAGAGAAAGACAACACACACAGAAACATAACAGACAGACAGAACAGAAGACAGATCAGAGAAAGACATAACACACACAGAAACATAACAGACAGACAGAACAGAAGACAAGTCACAGAAAAACATAACACTATTGTCCGGACAGCACCAAATGGACAACTTGTCGACCTCATTACACAGAAGCTAATTGGCGAATTGTTCTGAATTTTTGCATGTGCCTCTGAATTCCAAAAAGAAACCTTTAGAAATCTCAATTTTCGTGCTCAGGCGACAAATATAAAGAGGTGTTTTTTTTAATATATAATCGTTAGTATTTAATTACAGTCTGCGCAGGGATTTTTTATTAGACCAAGTACGGTAGTTAAGTGTTAGTTTGGTTGTTTTTTTTAGTTGTTTTGTTGTTTGTTTAAATCTATTTTTTTTATTTTTTTTACTGACTGCATGAGCCGCAAGACTGAGTTGTTTTCAATCCAGCGGTTAGTGGGTGACAGTAGGTTTATTTTGATCGACTCATTGTGATATACAATGAGTAGAATTTCTTTCATATCTTCCGTCATTGAGATCGCATGCGTTTCAATTTGCTGTCGCTTTTTTAGGTTAGAGATTATTTAGTTTACAAAACCCCAAAATGTTGCCTTTAAACTACTGAACTATTTCTTTTTAAAAAAGCTGATCGAGGCCGTCTCTTTTATTCTACATGTATAACAAATCCCGAAAAAAGGACAAGGCATGCATATGTAAAAGGGCTTATGGACCTGCACGGCGGAGGGGTGGGGGGGGTCAGTGACATACCTAGAGCACCGCTTCAAATTTAGCACTCTGTTGACCCCCGTTTTTGGGGGGTTTGACCAAACTGTCGCACATGATGCACGAAAAATTGAGACTTTTTAGGTGTTTTAGAATTCAGCGGCGCATGCAAAAAAAATCTGAGAGATTCGGCACTTAGATTCGGTGAAATGAGGTCGAAAAGTTGTCCATTTGGTGTTGTGCAGACTATAAAAACAGACAGACCAGAATAGAAAATAGGTCACAGAGAGGCCCAACTGACAAACAGGATAGAAGTAGAAGGCAAGTCACAGGGTAAAGTAACAGACGGACAAGATAGAAGACAGAGCACATAGAAACATAACAGACAATACCGTTTTTAGTTTTAGTAGAGGTTTTACGGCACTCGCAACTGCTAAAGGTCATATGAGCTCCAGAAGATTAGAGGTGTTACAAGAGAGTAACAAACATAAAAAAGAAGAAGGGGATATAAGAACAATATATATTTGATAGGAAAGAAGAAGCAAACTACCCGAAAGCACCCACCAGCCACTCACAGACCATACAGGAGCAGCAAGGTTCTTGTTTGAGTTTAAGTACAACTACATAGAAGCACATCAACACAATAACGGTCTCTTCGTGACGGTGACAAAAAGGTAAGACTGGCATACACAAACAATAGAGCGAAAGAAAAGAAGAGGGTCCATCTAGTGGCAACCTCCGACCACCAGCAGGTAGATTCTAAGAGTTGGTGGCTGGTGGGTGATCTGGTGTGGTCTGCTCCTTTTTTTCCTATTAAACATTTATCGTCATTATCTCCCCTCCTCTTTTTGTTGTTATTGTTGTTGTTGTTATTGTGTTTGTTACTCTCTTGTAACACCTCTAATCTTCGACGCATATTTATTATGACTTGATTATGTTGCAAGTGCCGCAAAACGTTTACTCAAAAAAGATTCTAGTCACTAGAACAAAAACAAGACTCCCACCAGTAAAGACACGATGAACCACTTGTTGTTGGTCTTGGTGATGAATCCATCGTTTATTGAAAATGAAAGACTTAAGTACATATAGTGTGGCAATAGTATGAAATAAATTATCTTTCATTTACATTATGCGAACATAGCGCAGTAGTTCGTGAGACTGAATTGCCATGCAACAATTTAACAAAGTGACAAAACAGTGGTGCAGTTATCCCTAGAACTAGATGGAGTGTCAAAATGGCACAGTAACAAAATACAAGTACAGATAATCAAAAGTTTGCACTTTATCATCAACTAAGATTTACTAAGAAATAATTATATTTTAGAAATTAGACTTACTTATATAAATATGTTAATTACTTTGTTGTTGTTGTTATTGTTGTCGTTGTTGTTGTTGCTGTGTGTGTGGTAGCCTTTCCGTTCGAAATGTTTAGAGCCCCGAAGAGCGTGCTCTTCGCCAGGGCCTCCACCTCTAGGGTAGCGAGTTGTTGTTGTTGTTGTTGTTGTTGATGATGATGATGATGATGTTGTTTTTGCTAAAGTTATTGTTGATACTGTTGTTGTTGTTCTTGTTGTTGTTCTTGTTGTTGTTCTTGTTCTTGTTGTTGAAATCATCCAGCACGAACGCTTAGTACTGCAAAGTATGTAAGTAGTACAGAAAGTGGGAGTGTATACATGTGTAGTTGAAACAAAGGTGAACATATAACATGTCAATGGTTACCTAACAGTGCTATAGTACATTTATAACAGGTATTTCGTGAAATGGTAGATAAAAATGTAGATTTCAACTATTGAAAGACTGAAACATGCCTTTAAAATGTTCCGCGCTGTAAGTAGTAAATAGTTTTGACGGGAAATCATTCTCCATAAACATGTTTCTAAAAATAAGTAAAAATCAAACAGTTTTGTGGATATAAATAAGTTATTTCAAAGGCAGGCCCTGTGGTGTACAAAGTGCTCACGTGCACCCCTGGGGGGGG